CAAATTTATTTTATATTTGATAGAAAATGGTAGTAAAACAAGAAAGTTTGGAGTCAGTTGTTCAGGAACTGGGTCAATTGTGGGTTAGAATAACCATGTTCTCATTTCAAGGAAATGATGAAATCGTTATTTATAAATGAGCAACAAGGTGCTAATGAGGCAGAAAGATAGAAAATGTGTAGTTGTTCCCCCGAAACCCTTTTCACTCACTGTAAGGCATCAGAACTAAATGCAACAGAAACAAAGTGGTCATGTTTGTAATGCAGAGCTTCATAACTGTAAGTCAGCATATAAATACTTGTTTGTTTTTTTACTGAAATCTGCAATGGAAGCCCAACTTCTAGTAGATTGGAGATGCATGGGGTCTAGTTAAAACACCAGCCAATAACAAAGTGTGGGAGAAAAACAGTCTAACGTATGATTCTTTTGAGAAAACTATTGTTCTGTATATGCAAAAGAAATCACTTTAGGAAAAGGAAAACCTAACTATAAGACCACTGCTGCTAATCAAAAACATCAGACAGAAAATTGGTATTTAAATATAATACATTAGTGTCAGAATCAGTATGTTGGGACAACACAGCCCTTTGCACGTTGCCTTCTGACATTTTGAGGACATCTCTAATGAAAGTTTGCCTTTCTAAGAGCTGGTAATTTGGAGGAATGGAAGAGTGTCCCCTCTGACTCCTGTGCTCGATTTGAACGCATGGCCCTGAGTCATGAACTGAGCTTCTCTCAAGCGCAGACATCCGCAGTCTGCTGAAGCTGCTGGCACAGAAGAACTAGGCCAGATTTGACACACTTCACAACTCTGACACACATTACTGCTGTTCAGAGGAGCAGCCGAGGTCTAAATGCAGCAGAAGTGCAGGCCACCCTGACGGAAAACTGTAGCATTTCATTTCATTTAATTTATAGTTTTGTTTGAGCACAGGATTTGTGGAGTTTACTCTAAGAAAGCTTTATTTTCTCTCTGCCTTTTTTTTCTTCGCAGAAAAAAAATCTCGAGAGCAACAAGAAAATAGTAAGTTTGAATCTCCTGAAAAACAAACCCAGCTACTGTCCGAGTAACACGTCTTTGATGCTTCAGGGGTTGTAAATGCCTTGAAACAAACAGGAACAAAGAAGCCTGCAACAGTGGGAGCATTCCACAAACGGTTTACATTTGCTGCTCATTAAACCGCAAGGAAAATGTCGCAGTTACAAGAGTTGCTCTTATTCGCCTCGATGTCGTCTTTATCGAGTCATCATTGGGTCAAACTTCAGCAGACAGGATTTGCTGGTGGGCAAAAGTGTAAACAGGAGGTCTGCGAGCCTCCTGGTGTTTTTTAAGATAATGAAAAAAACACGCCTGCTGCATCAAAGCCTGCAGATGTGGATTCCTGCTCGTTTATCATCCCCCTTTTCAAGCTACCAGACGGTTTTTTGCGAGCGCACAGAAGCCTCACACAGGTCCACCAGATCGAAACTTCCCCCCTCCGAGAACTTTGCTTGCTCAGCACCAGAGCAAAAATCCTGAGCCATGTCAGCCCTGTAATAATCAGATCTAAGCTGTCTTCTGCCAGCTGTTGTCTGTTTGTTTCTATGCAGGCTGAGGAAGAAAAGCAGAACCCAAAACATGACCATATGTTTAAACCTTGTCCTATGAACCCAAAACAGGATGTCACAGCGGGCCCTCCGGTCAGACTTACTGAGTGAGGCGCAGGCACACAGGAGGGCTATTGTTTTGCTCTGCTCTGGGAAAGACAGAGGGGTGAGGAGAGTTTGGTGTTGGTGAAAAAAAGAAATAAGATGTGCATGTCTGCTCTGGACCAGCACACAATGTGTTGCTATCTGAAGCCAACGAACCACCGGGAACCATTTTGCCTCACACACATTGTATTTTTCCCTTTCGAAATTTCACGTCGGCTATAAAATGCAGAATGTGCCATCTTTAAATAAAGCCTGAAGCTGTTCTGTGATCAGTGATATTTTTTCAATGTTTCTTTTTTTGTTGGGGCTTTAAGGAAAATATGTGATTTTCATTTGGGTGCATTTAAAGTAAATATACACACTTAGAGTTGGTAAATGAGTTTTGTAGGCACGAGGGTGGATTTGTTGCCATACAAAAGTGTGCTAGCTTTTTCCTTCTTCTAACATGGAGTAACTACAAAATGCCTCATGGAAACTGCTGGCCAAGGTCTGTTTCATGCAATCTGGCTTGCAACATGAGAACATCTATTCTGGTGTTAATTGTGATGCTTTTAACCCATTAGAAGAAACAGAATACTTGCAAAGCCTTTGCTGACAATGGGAAGCACACCAGAGCTTGCAACTTTTTTGCAGTTTAAAAAATTAATATTGTCTGTGAAACCACACCATGTGGGCAGGAAAGAGTGACCTGCAAATGAACGTATTTAACAAGTAGCATTCGGGAAACAGACCCTTTTGTTTCTGGGCCTGAACATTTGTCTTTGGTCTGCAAAACATATCAAAAGTTTACGTTTGCCTAAACGTCCAAACTACAAGTGGTATAACTTTAAAACACATAGAAAAACCTTAAATGTGACCAGAATTAGTCACATTTGCTCCTCAAAATGACTAGTTTTTTCTTTTAAATAACACAGTCAGGACAATCAAAAGATAATGTGAGCGTAGGACAACAAACGCTGACTTAGACAGCTTATTAAGCACAGAATATCAGGAGGAGGCTGCAGACAGGGCGGAGGGACTGCTCTGAGACAGCATAGACATAGCAGTGGGCCACACAGAGGCCTCCTTGTCTACCAACGCAACCTGCTGCAGCTCCCTCAAAAGTATGCGATGCAGGGAATGCTAAAAGGATTAGCACATAGCTAGTTGAGATAATGTGAAAAATGAGATGTAATGAGGTGGTGGGAGGCAAGGACTAGGCTTTTTTTTTCTGTCTCAGATTGATGGACTCCAAAATAAAGGCTTGACACAGATATTTCTTAATGTGTGTTTATTTACAGTGTACATCATACACAAATCTCTTTGGAATAAAAAAACAACTCTCTCATATACACCAAATAAAAAAAGAGAATCAGAAGTTACTGAGCCACTTTGTAAACATGCAACCCCCACGTTTTCTTACGGGACACACTAAAAATTGAGTCCAGGAGAAAGCTGTTTCAGAAGTGGGCCATGCCCGTGATAAATAAGGAAAGTAACATCAGGGCTCTATTGTGTTAACCTATCACGAGAATGTATGAACAGTTTCAACCAGTTTGGTAATACTCAATGCCTAGAGCCCTCCACATACCACTGCCCCGTAGGCACGTCAGCGGCATCCCCGAGGGCAAGCAATGGAAGTGACCTTTCATTCAGATAAAGTTGGAGCCAGTGAAAAATAGATGAAGTGAGGTAGGATCTGTGGTTATCAGCGAGCGCAGGGCGGCTGCAGCCTCCCCTGCTTGTTTTGATGGCCCAGCTGGGGAGGTTGAACATCTTTAAACTGCCAGATGGTGAGCATGACTCATTTAAACGTTTTACAGCAAGAGCTTCTTTTGCATAAAGTGGTGAATATACAATATTTTAAAGAATATAGTCCTTTTTTTAACAATTAAAAGGCATTGATTACCCTTTAACAAACTGTATTTCCCAGTTTTATTGTGTTTGCAAAACATTAACCCTGGACAGCAGTGATCATTGAACAGGCATGAAACTCAGTAACTCCGTCACAAGTGACTGTTGAACACTGGCCCTCTCAAGGGGTTGAACGAATTAAATAAAAACGACAAAGATTACTGGCCCAGCACTGCTCCCTGTTTTCCAGGGTGCAGATGCTCCTTTGAATCCAGCTCATAGTTAAGCATCATAAGAGATGAGTCTCTGAAAAGCAAAATTTCCATCTTGTATTTCCTCTCTCTGTCCAGTTCAGTGCATTAACAACCCCACAGGGGTGCCTCGCATGTTTGTTCCAACGCCTGCGTTTAAAAAGTAAAAAAACAAGCACAAAAAAACAAAAAATAAACAAAAGAAACACATACAAACTAAACTGGGACAGATTCGAATGAGGTACTCATGGTTCACTTCACACTCAGACATCAGGTCCCCAGTTAAAATAAAAAAAACATAGCTTAGTGGTTTTCCATTTTAAATTAATCATTAAGGGGGAGGGTTGGTGTGCAACCTGAATACACATGTCAAATAAACATTTACTCATACTTTCCAAAGGGTCACGAGGGGCTCTGAAATCAGTTTGGAGTCCAGTTCTGTCATTTAAGGACAGGGGTCTGAAATGCACCGGGTTTCACACACACACTCACCGATACCAACACATTATGCTGGGAGAAACCTCCCCTTTGGCACTACACACAGTCTATACTGACACAACACTTCCATAGGATCTATAAATACAACATTTCACTCTGACAGGATACAACTATGAGCAGATGCTGTTCTCTGGTTTGAAGAACACATCTCTTTGGAGTCCTCGGACAAAAGAGAACTGTATATCTCATGAAATGCTAATCCTATATGCAGATCTTACTCCAAAATGAAGCAGAAAGGTAACATTTTGATGCTATTAATGAGGCTGTTTTGTTTTTTTGTTTTTTACCGTGTACCTACTGTCATTTATACTATATTAGTATATCTTGGGTTACAGAATAGAGTGACATTAAATTTTGTATCGCTATACGGTACCTACGGTACCTAATTCATCACTGTCTGACTCAGACCAGACATGTTGGAAGAAACTGTAACTTTACTGTCATATAATACTGTTTTATACTGATAATTACTGCTAACTTACACGCCTGGAGTGTAAAATAAGGAACTGTGAAGATTACAAAAAATAGTATTAGTGTAGATAATAGACCGGAAACATAAAATATTTCCTTTGATACTCTGCAATGTTTGGGTCACCTGACTCTTGGTTAGTAGTGTAGCTGATTTTAACACCGACATAACCAGATCCTACACCTTCCTTTCATGGTAAAAACACCAATAAACTCTGCATATAAGCTCAGCATTCCATGGCGCGTGGATTCCTGTCCCTAAACCGTAGACTCTTTGGGTCCTTCCCGAGCAGCGTTCTTACAGCCATACAGCCACTTGATGACGCGAGCGTTCCTCTCAATGATTGACACGCCGGTGGGAAGCTGCTCGGCCAGCTCCTCCTGGAACAGCCCGTCTCCCGAGTGGCGGGAGAACTCGCTGGGCTCTGAGCCGCCACAGCCGTCCCCCCCCACGCTACGGAGCGCCAACGACAGCGTGTCTATAGAGCTGGCGCCGGAGAGGAAGTTCTCCCGACCCAGACGCTCTATCATGTCCGTGTCCAGTCCGCAGAAGTCAAAGAAATGCTCCTGCTCGGATAAGGCTGCGGAGCATCGCAGGCGTAACTCTGACTTGGAGCGCCGCAGCTCCCCGAAGCGCCTCCTGGGCGCCGGGGGCGACGCCCGCCTCCACGGGTCGTCCTCGTTTTGATAGAAAGTGGAGTCGTTGCCATTGGCGACACCACTGTTCACTTTGTCCCTTTTGCCGTTTGTAAAGTCATCCTTTGAGTGTTCCAGCGTGCAGCTGAGCCCAGGGCTGGGGACGGACTCTGGGCTTCGCTGCTGGTCAGTTTTACTCGACCTCCTGCTGCCTGGTCCACCGTCCATGGCATCTTTGTCGTTGGTCCAGGACATGCGGAAGTCGTCGTCCCGCGATGGCGTTTTTTCTTCTCCAATGACTATCTTCTGGATCCTGCCCTCCCCTCCGCTACTCTTCTCTCTCATGGACCCCTGGAAGAGGCGGCGGACAAAGCTGTAGCCCTTGACTTCCATGTTGTTGTTGTTTTCCCCCACCGTGGTACTGGTGGGACTTTTGCACTCTTTCTTCTGTCGGTAGATGACCAGAGAGTCCGGCCTCAGCATGCGCTTGCCTGTGCTCCTTCTGAGAACGGGAGCGCTGTGCGGCGCCACCAAGGAGTTAATCCCAGGTGTCCTGGGGCTGGGCGGCATCCCCTTGTTCACATTGCTCCTGTTATGTGCCTCAACGTCGACAGAAGTCCTCCTGTTCTCCTTTCGGGCGTCATCGTTTTCATTTTCATCTCTGGAGTTGAAGGAGCCAGAGAGGGTGGAGAAGGGGGTGTTGGATGACCGGCGTGGGGGGAGCCGTGGGGTCAGGCTACCGGGGACGGAAATTGCTCGCCGTGGCAGTGGCGGCGGGGTGGTGCAGGGAACAAGCACAGGTTCTTGTTTGGTGTTGATCACCTGCTGGCTCTTGACATATTTGGCTTTGTCAGCTTCAAGCCTCTCCACGGCACTAATGGAGCGGCCGTGACCTCCTCCGTCAATCTGCCGGCGCAGGTAGTCTGGACCCTTGTTCAGAAGCCTCAGAGGCGAGGGGGATCCAATTGGCGTTAGGGGTTTCATGTTTCTTCACTAAGCTGGGAAAGACATCAAAACTGCGGCTCCTAAACTGACTCCCAGCTTCCGATCTCCCACTGAGAGCTGCTGTTGGCTTTGGAGACGGCTCTAAGAGCAGAGAGCTGCAGCCGCTCTCATTCCTGTTCTCACAGCTCCTAAATCTTCTTTGAAGGGTAATGGACAAGTAGTAATTCAGGAGACCACAGAGTCCAACTTTGTTGTGATGTTTTCTATAGATAGCCTACAGTCTCTTTCCAGGGCGGAGTAGAAGCCCAGACAAATTGATATCTATCCAGTCTTCAGGCATTTAGATAGGCAGGGGAAAAGGGAAGTCCTTTTTTTGTCGGCCAGCAGCGCTCCAAAATGAGATGCTCCCTGCCCACAGTGGAGCAGAAATAGCAGGCAGGGTGCTCTTTGAAAGGGTTACTTCGTCCTCCCCCACTTTTCTTTGCTTTTCTGCGTCAAAACGCCCTCCGCTGCTGATCTTTTCGGGGTCTGGCTGCCTGGAGAAATGAGATGTAATGGCCTCAAATATTTGCTCCGTGCAGGCCTTTTAAGGGACAACAGGTCAAGACTTTATTGTTTGGCACCGGTCCCGGATGAGTTGACCTGAGAGTGGCTGGCACCAAGGCACTAGGTCTGCTGATGGACAGATGGCGGATAAGCAGATCGTGTCCTTGTCCTCACCTCACCTGGCAGACCTTTGGGAAAGACAGACAGAAAGGGAAAGAGAGATTTTAATTTGATGCGAAGCTCCTCAGGGTAGGCAGCAGGGAGCAGATGGCAGACAGGGCAGTGGCATCTAAAACTCGGCTCTGATTGTGATTATTTCGATCCAGAGCAGGCAAAAAATACAGAGCTGACATGTTCAAACATCTAACCTTAGCCAGGTTCTTCACAAAATCCTGAGACTAGCAAACAATAAACAAACATGCCATTGTCTGTCGTCCAGACATGATGACATGTCTGCTTCCATCTTTTTCCAGACAGGGAAGGCAGTCAGACTCTTTAAACTTCCGTGAGGCCAGTTGTTTCAGTTGTGTGTATCAAAGTTATTACAACATCCAGTTTTACAAAAAATGAAAGGAAAATAACGTGGCACGCAGATCCTTTTAAATACTTAAAGCTAAAATCAACATTTCTATTTCTTTGTCTTTTTATGCCACATCTCTCCAAATTAATAAATGATAACAAAACTTTGAGATCACTAGTTCCCCATACCCACAATAATCTGTTTGTGGTCTTTTATTTTAGTTTTTTTTTCTTCATGTTTTAATGGAATGTGTGAATTTGGAGCGGTAAATGTGAGCATATGTGTCTATAATAGGCTATCCTCTACATGAGGGTATATTTAGCTTGAAAACGTCCCAGTGGTGTTATCGTATGTCAATGTACATGTGCAAATGTGTGTACATCTGTGTGCAGTCAAGGGTATTTTTGTGTCTGCTCTGGTCCATGAGCATATGTGTATGTCAGCACGAGGTAAAAAGGGGCTTTTGAGCTTCTCTTTGAAACTCTGGACCAGAGTCTGCTGTGTGCTAATGACACAGGAGGAAGAAAGACAGAAACAAAAAAAAATCTGAAGCTGTTATAAATACCCGGAGGCACAGGTGGTTTGTGGTCTGTCTCGGGTGATAAATGCTCATTGTGTTGTGCGAGACAGCAGGACGGTGTTATGTTGTGCTTATTGTTCCCTCAGGTCAGGTTCAAGTGTTATCAAATGCTATTTTAGCTTTTCCTTCACAAGAGGTGAATGGAGCAACAAGAAAGAGGATCCTTTTTTTTTGTTAAAATAAATAACAACACCACTAGCAACTCTGCCTATTTCCTCTGCCTTTTCTGCCTATAAACATTACACAGTAGAACCAAATTCAGTAGTTGACATAGTCCGGTGTGCATCGATATGAGAATATAATTTTTTTCAAAACACTACAGAAGAATCAAAGTGTATTGGTTAAAAAAGTCCCTTTTAAAAGTTGAAACATTCGTTAATTTTGTCTCTGAAAGAAAATAATCAGTTAGATTGATACGACTCAAACTTCTCTAAAATCTCCTTTTGTTCACTGGGTTGTCTATTGTGTATCTTTTCACATTTGCTAACAAAATTACATGTTAAAGAAACTACTGCTGATACTTTAGAAGGTGAGCTAACGTTTCACCATATTCCTTTAAATACAATCTCCACGCTTCTCACAAAGCATGTCGAATGGCATTTTTCGATAAATCACCTGGGGAAGGGGGGGGGGGGTATGACGTGCTGGTTAGGTTTTCCAGATGTTGGAGTGAGGGAAAGCAAAGCATTGTGTTGGTACGGTTCTGGGAAAAATGTCTCACAACAGGTGTGGAGGTTAAAACCTAAACTGGAAGTGGTGATAAGGGTACCGGTGTGAGTCAGGTTGCAGGGTTTGTAACAGGTCATTCCCATCCAAGCTCAAAATGAAAAACAAAAGGCTGAGCCTATTGAGGCCTTAGAGGAGATTATTGTCTTAAGAGCCTAAACAAAGTTAAAGATGGCAGCTCTCCAAAGAGGGAATGGATTTAAAACCAGAAAAAAATATCATGAAGAACACAGAAAGCAATATATATGACTAAAGGACCTAATAAACACCGAAATCATAACATTAAAACCCTGTGAGAATATAGGCAGTATCTGTTTTACTGCTGATACACGTCCTGAGCTCTGCTCGTGAAGCTTCTGTTCAATCACTGAATCTGACACTAAGAGTCTAAATGGAATCAGACGCTTTCAGGGGCTGTCTCTTGCTCCGAGGGCTTACTTAGACATCACATGACTAAATCTGAGTCACAGTGCTTGTTTTTGGTTGTTTGGGATAGTCTCATCCAGACAAAGTGCGGTGAGATGCACACATTAAAGTACTGATGCATTATGATTTTACCAACCCACGAGCGCACACATAAAATTGGAGAACAATAGCCATCATTAGTTCCATTGACCATAATGAGCCAAATTACTCCCCGACACCTTCTTCTGTGACCCTAAAACTTGTGAAAGCTGTGAGATGGCCTTAGAGCTCCTCTTGTGTTTCATGACCTCCTTTGTCTCTCACCGTAGGTTGTAATTAACCTCTGAACCCTTTCTTTTTTCTCTCTTCTCTACAGCCAACAGCGCCCCACCTTCTCCTTCCTGAAGCTCCCAAGCCTTGTTTCCCAGCAGCCTCTTGCCTCACAACCCTTTCATTTTCCACCCCTCTCGTATACACCCGTCTGACCTCTCTGTTGCTCCATTCAGTGTTCCTCTTAGTGCATTCAGTGTTACTCTTAGTGCACGCTTCTGCTTGGGCCACAATGCATTGTGATGATGAGGATGATGAACAATCAGAACCGGACAGAAGCACCCACTTCTTGAGTCAAGTCAAGAAGAGGTTTGCTTCTGGCTGGGACACATAGGACAACTGGTGATAACTCAGCCTGAAAGCCAGGTTGTGATGTTGTCCTGAAAGTTTAAGGGGGTTGAACATTTGAGTTAAACTTGAAGCACTGTGGTCCATTTCAGTCAAAACTCCAGAGGAGTTGCATGGTAAATAAAAGCTCCAGATCAACTGGTCAAGACAGTAAGCAGCCAAACAAGACTCCATGATTTATTTTGAGGATCCAGCCTGGATTTTACTACGTTGGAAGTTTCCTTCCCTTTCCGCTGTCCCTCCAAATGTCTCGGCATGACCTGGATTCAAAGCATATGCGGTGTGCACCTGTGCGTGCCTGATCCGATTCCATTACACCGCTCTATGACTATTTTATGAGACACAGCAAGCAAAAAAGCTGTTGCATAGAAATGAATGAATTGTACAGCAAACGTCAAGCACCTCTGGGAAGAAAAAACTCAAAAGACGAACCAGAAACACTCTCTTTCCCTTTAAGACTGTGGCCTTTATTGTCTTCAGCCTTCAGCTCTTTATTAAAACTCGTCTCTGTCTGTACTCTTTTTTACTTTCCTCTCTTGCACTTGTCCTCTCTGGGATGGCCAGCCTGCAGGGGAGGCTTTGCTGCCCCCCATTCAGTTAAAGAGGAACCAGATGTTTTCTGTCGTCCCACATCAAGATGGCCCGGCAGCCCAGACAGAGACCTGTCATGGGGAGGGATTACGGACTTACTGTTTTCTTTATAATCAGCTGCATTGTTTTTGCCGCATTGATTAGATCCCATGAGAGCACACAAAGAAAATGATGTTTACATTCATTGACAGGTAAAAGCGTGCAGCTCTTCCTCATTTTCAAATGACAAAGCGGTGGCCCAGATATAAACTGAAGAAAGTATTTGTTTGTCTCATGAAAGCCCACAGAAGAATAACCCCATCGAAGCTCGTTGGGTGTAGCCAAATGAGAAACAGCTGGCCTTGGATGAGGAGGGTAAAGGAAGTTCTCCAGTGAATTATGTATTCAGCGAGGTAAACACAAGATAAGAGGTTAAAAAATTCTCAAGGAGTGGGAGTGTACCAGCACGCTTACCGGTCAAATGAATCTCCAGACAGATGAGAGGAGGAGGGAACCTTTCCTCTCTTTCCCCATCATAATCTTACATCAGACTCAGCGATTAAGGATGACGGTGTAACAATCAACACTAATTGGCTCAAATTTCTCAGAGCTAAAATTCGAACCAAAGCTCATTGAGACACGGCCTTGTGTTTCAATGGAGCGTCTGCACACACAGAGGCTACAGTGCGAATAAAAGTGTCTCTCGCTAACTGTCCATGATTCACGACTCTGTGTGCTTTCTAACTTTACAGAGACAACTCAAGAAGTCTGTGATGGAGGCGGGTGAAAGAAAGGGAGGTATCCCCTTTTATCCTCCAAACAAAGACACATGCCGGCCTTTCTTTGCATTATTAATGGCCCACAACAATGGTCGTCCTCCAGGTCTAGAGATAAGTGTTGACCTGGCTGCTCTGCCTCATTAGCCAGAGAGGGAAAAAGACAACATGGTGACAATAAAATGTGAGAGAGGGTGCCATGGGGTACATGAGGCACTGCCCCCCTCACAAACAAAGC